GTGTGTGTGTGTGTGTGCGTGTGTGTGTGTGTGTGTGTGTGTGTGTGTGTGTGTGTGTGTGTGATGCTGCAGGAAACAAAGACTCGTTCTGTCTCTTCAGGACCGTCAGCTGCTTGTTCCAGAACCAGAACCAGGGTCTCATGACAGTCAGCTGTAGTCTGAAGCATCAGCTGTGTTTCCATGGTTACCTGCAGGGCTGGCAGCCAATCAGAGAGCAGGATGCTTCACATCAGTCCTGACCAGTTTTACAGACGTTTTTTTTTTCCATCAAAGAATAAAACAGGAAGTTCTTTTTTTAAAAACCAGGAAGTGAAACCTTTAAAGGGGCGTGGCAGAAGCAGGATGATGACATCATCAGTCAACTTTTTTTTGGCTCCATTCAATTCAATTCAAATAAAAAAAACTTTATTGATCCCAGAGGGAAACTAAGTGTTGTAACTCATTGAACTAAAAAGTTAGACCACCCCGTCTACCTGTCTACACCTGAGAAACTCACACAGGTGTGTGTGTGTGTGTGTGTGTGTGTGTGTGTGTGTGTGTGTGTGTGTGTGTGTGTGTGTGTGTGTGTGTGTGTGTATGTGTGTGTCTTTGCTCAGGTTCTGGGTTTGTGTGAAGACCGATCAGCTGGTTGCCATGATGAAGAGCTGGAGAAGGGCGGAGCCAAAAATCCTGATAAATATGGTGACAGGTAAACACACACTGAACCTGAACCTGCGTCTGGGTCTGACATGAACCTCAGGTGTGTGTGTCCTCAGGTGTGTGTCTCTCCTCAGGTGTGTGTTTCTCCTCAGGTGTGCGTGTCCTCAGGTGTGTGTGTCCTCAGGTGTGCATCTCTCCTCAGGTATGAGTGTCCTCAGGTGCGTGTCTCTCTTCAGGTGTGTGTGTGCTCAGGTCTGTGTGTCCTCAGGTGTGCATGTCCTCAGATGTGTTTGTCCTCAGGTGTGCATCTGTCCTCAGGTGTGTGTCTCTCCTCAGGTGTGCATGTCCTCAGGTGTGCGTCTCTCCTCAGGTGTGTGTCCTCAGGTGTGCGTGTCCTCAGGTGTGCGTGTCCTCAGGTGTGCGTGTCCTCAGGTGTGTGTCTCTCCTCAGGTGCGAGCACCCGGTGGACAGTGCAGGTCTTCTGTCCTTCATGACGTTTCATTGGCTGACTCCTCTGGCGGTGAGCGCCCGCAGAAAAGGACAGCTCTTATTGGAGGACATCTGGCCCGTGGCACCACGGGAGCGTTGCCGTGACAACAGCAGGAGGTGGGTGTGGCTTGTGAAGGACCTGCCTACCTGCAGACCCCCTGCTTACCTGCAGAGCGTCTGTGAGTCCTCTCTGAAGGCGTGTCTCTGTCCAGGTTGAAGACTCTGTGGGACGAGGAGCGCAGGTCGAAGGGCAGCGAGGCGTCTCTGTGCTCGGCTGTTTGGTTGTTCTGTCGGACCCGTCTCCTCCTCTCCATCCTCTGTCTCACCGTCACCCAGCTCGCTGGCTTCAGTGGACCGGTAGGTCAAGTTCTGGCTCTGGCTCTGGCTCTGGTTCAGGTTCTGGCCCCCTCCACAGACCACACGTTGCAGAATATCTGCTGTTGTCTCCTGCAGGCCTTTGTGGTGAAGCGTCTCCTGGACTACACCCAGCAGGAGGACTCGGACCCGGTCTACGGGCTGCTGCTGGTTCTGGGGCTCCTCACCATGGAGCTGATGCGGTCCTGGTCTCTGGCTCTGACCTGGGCTCTGAACTACAGGACCGGGTGCAGACTGCGAGGAGCCATCCTCAGCCTGGCCTTCGAGAAGATCCTGCAGCTGCGCAGCGTCAAGGACAAGTCCGTGGGTCAGGTGGGTTCACTGATCCGGTTCTGTTTGTGATCCGGGACCAGGACCGGCGTGTCAAACATCACATCTGTTTCTGTCCTCTCAGCTGGTCAACATGTGCTCCAGCGACGGGCAGAGGATGTTCGACGCTGCAGCAGTGGGCAGTCTGTTGGCAGGGGGCCCCCTGCTGGCCGTGCTGGGTGTGGCCTACAACCTGTACATCCTGGGACCCACGTCCCTCCTGGGGTCTGCTGTCTTCATCCTCTTCTACCCCACCATGGTCAGTACCTGTCTCACCTGGACGTGTCCTCCAGAGGACAACACCTGGAACACTGCTTGGTTATAGTTCAGTGTTTTAGTGACAGCCTTGAATGGATCTAGACTCCATACACAGGGGTATGCAGATGACTTGGTCGTACTTATAGAAGGCTTCTGCCTGGGTACTGTATGTAACCTGATGCAGAGGAGACTAAACATAGTATCCAGATGGTGCCAGGARCAGGAACTTTGTCAATCCAARTAAGACAGAACTGGTTCTTTTCACTCATAAGACGTCAAGGAAGGGTTACTCACCTCCAAAGTTGGAGGATGTAGAACTCTCCCCATCAGAGTCAGTTAAATTCTTGGGTGTCTATCTAGACAGGAAGCTTAACTGGAAAAGACATGTAAATGAAAAGTGTAAGAAGTCGGCAGTGTGCCTTTACCAGTGCTGGAGATTTACATGTAGTYGTTGGGGGGCTACCCCAAAGGTTATCAGATGGATCTACAGKGGTTGGACAATGAAACTGGAGCAGCTGTCATTTTAGTGTGGGAGGTTTCATGGCTAAGTTGAACCAGCCTGGTGGCCAATCTTCATTAATTGCACATTGCACCAGTAAGAGCAGAGTGTGAAGGTTCAATTAGCAGGGTAAGAGCACAGTTTGGATCTAAATATTGCAATGTACACAACATTATGGGTGACATACCAGAGTTCAAAAGAGGACAAATTGTTGGTGCACATCTTGCTGGAGCATCTGTGACCAAGACAGCAAGTCTTTGTGATGTATCAAGAGCCACAGTATCCAGGGTAATGTCAGCATACCACCAAGAAGGACCAACCACATCCAACAGGATTAACTGAGGACGCATGAGGAAGCTGTCTGAAAGAGATGTTCTGGTCTAAAACCAGATGTTTCACTTTCATTGTCCAACCCCTATACAACATATATATATAT